GTGTCGCAATAATACGCAGTCTTCGACGAAATATCGTGCATTTGCCTTCAGCACTACAAAAACTGCAGAGACTATTATTTTGTAAATTCAGAATGCGCCCGTGTCGAGTAATTATTTGAGTGTAATCAAAATCACACATCATTCTTATATTTTTAGAAACTTCAAAAATTCAATAAATAATCTTTCTTTTTTCTCGAAATGTTCTACTTCTCGTTCCAGCAATAATAATAGAAATCAATTGATTTTACCAATAACAATTCTTTTTGATGCTTGAATATCGAACGCATCCCCGGCATTAACCACCAGCAGCCTCTTTAGCCAGCATGTCGGCTCTCTCATTGCCTGTAGGGCTTTCACCCAGTTCATTTTCACTTCAGGTGTTTTCTCAACTTTTACAAGAAGATCTTTTACATATGAGACCAAAATATTAGTGTTTTCAACATCTGTTAGTGCTTCCAAACCAGATAATGAGTCTGTATATACTATATTAACATATGTTTTTACGGTCAGGTTTTCATCTATCTTTCTAAAAGCAAATATGATAGCAGTCAATTCGTCTTGAAAAACCGAATTGTAATGTTCAAATCTAATTTTGTCACAATCTACGATTATTATGAATTCTGTTTTAATGAGCAACAGAATCATTAAAATTCAAATCAAGGCTTTTTGATTTGCAATGACAAGCTTTTCTTAAATTCATCTGATTAGAACATCTGATAGCTGGCAAGATATTTGATCTCATTAATAACAACTAACATAAAACAATGAAACGCAGGTCAATTTTCCTCCCAGAGCTAAGGAATTCAAAAAATAGATAATAATAAGGGAAAAGAACTATATTTTGAACTTCAAAACAGACATTCATATTAGAGTCGCTTAGGAAACACATTAGACTGTATACTATAAGGTATTTTCTCCCTCCTTTTTGGCATGCCTTCGTGGCGTAATGGTTAGCCCACTCGGCTCGTATTCGAGAGGTTCAGGTTCGAGTCCCTGCGAAGGCATTGCTCATTTTTCATGTCTCCTGCTTTAAAATAACCTAATTTCTCTACAATACGAGAAAAGAAAAGCTAAGAAAGTTCAATACGGTATCTTGCCAGGATTTGTCCAATATTTCGTCGAAATCTTTCAGGTGAATAAATTTTGTAAATTTAAGTATTTTGCCATAAAGGAGACTAACAAAAGTATACATTCGCAAGCTCAAAACTACACAGTGAGTACTATTTCTCGATACAAATTGTATAATACTACTTCTCGATTCTAAATGTAATGACTGAATAATGTATACTGGAAAATACCTGAGATATTTGGGGAAATTTAAAAATAGGACATGAATAGCGGAATTATAGTTTATTCAAATGATGCGAATGATAGCCTAATCAGGTTAGATGGTAAAAATACCCCCAAAAATTAATAAATAATCATAATTTAGTAGATACTATAAACAGTCTTACTATGTAATTGGCAAAAATATGTGAGATATTCGAAAGAGCAAAATAAAAATCAACATCACGTTTACTGACTTGAATACTATACTTTTTTTAAAGTACATACTATGCCGCCAAACCAATAGAGTGGTAAACGACTACCGAAGGGTGCGAGTTCGAATCCTGGAGAAGGCATGGATGTTTGTAAATGCACAGTGTCTTTGAGGCATGGGGGCACTCTAAATATGCGACGAGGCGAATAACCTCTGGAGATATTAGTGGTGGGAGAAGAGAGATGGAAGACGTTTGGACTCGTCCCCTCGGGTTGCTCTCCATCAAAATTGGGGGGGGGCGAAACTGAGCAAAGTCGCATTTGTCACCTGTTTGGTGCTCAAGGCTCTTGTGAACAACAAGCGCAATCTTGCTCTTCCTTGTCAAAATGAATTTCGCGGGTTTGTTCTAATGTTACTGTCAGACAAGTGAGATAATTCACAACAAAAGCAATAAAGTATTATAGTACTATTGAATCGAACATTTGCATTTAGAGAGTTCGTAGCACTGGTATTCATTTCGCAATCCATTTAAGTGCACCTATAGATCTCAGGTAAAATGCTAAATTTATCTGAAGCAAAACGAATACAATCTTACAGCGACTAAAAACAAACTATATGTAAAATACGAATGGAGCTAATTTTTAGTCAATGAAGAATACAATTTATCTCTGTGTAACTTTTTTTGCAACTTTTTTTGAAACTGCATCACAGAGAATATGTAATGTAAAGAAAACTTTTTTCGAGATCCTTTATGTAGTGTAACTTTCTCGTAAAATTAAATTTCAGCCACTTTAAGTTATAAATTAATTATGGAATCATTTTTATGAAACAAGTATTTTTGGAAAAAATATCTTTCATTGTGTAATACGAGATACATAATAATCTGAAAGACAAGTTTAGTGGTATATGTTGTCTAACTTAAAATGTTATCAATACGTTTAGCTCACGCAATAAATAATTTAAACAATATACAGAACAGAAGTGTGAAATATATTTTCAAGCTTCATATAAACATGGTATCAATAGTTTCCCCTCTTTTCCAGAGAAATATTTTTGAAGAGTGTATCTTTCATCGTGTAAAGAGGATCCCTAAAAATCTCAAAGTTAAGTTCGATGATATATGTTTTCTTACTTAAAAAAATTATCACTACATTTATGTCTCCTAATAAATAATTTTAACAATATACAGAAGTGTGAAATATATTTTCAAGCTTCACATAAACGTGTTATCATCATTTTTAAAACACAGTGCTTATTTCTCCTGAACATAGACAAACGCTTTAGTAATCCCCATCAACTACACTTCGCCTCAGTATAACTATATTTCAGAATGCTCTCAAATGCTTTAATTCACATGCTTTGGAACATCAAAATTCATTTCTAATTAAAATAAATTCTAATTCAATTTGTGACGAAGGATACATAAGCGTGGGTTTAAAAGTAAGCGTGGGTTTAAAGTAGTAAAAGGCGGGAAAGTTTAGAAACCGCTGTAATTAGATAATTTTTTTCTCTATTTGATATATTTTCTTTCTTTTATATGTCTTTCCTTTAAGCGAATGCTATTTATCACAGTAATAGGTTTCCCAGTTTTTGAATCAATGGGATAAAAAATCCACTATGACTAGACTGGCAATACCGCCGTCTTTCCAGATGGATCGATCGATTATGAGGTCAAATAAGATCAAGTTGCATGACCTGTACGTTTCCTTGAAAGTCAAAACCAATTCCTAGAAATTAAAAGATAATAACTCACGCAACTTACTCTTCTGGAATTATGTTAGCTCCAGCAACCTAATGAATTTCGTGGGAGGACACAAAAAATGCACACGCATGGTCTGGCAACAGATTTAATACTTTCTAATAAACAAACGCCAAACCAAGGTTGAATATTCTCCTGGTTTGTTTTTCACGTAATTTCTATTTTTATATAATTCTTTATGTGGCAGGGCAATATAAGGAATTTAAACAAATTCGAAAAATGATAAAATACTTTTAAAAATATTAAATCGGAATATAAAATTTTATATGAAACATAGCTACAACGAACAGACATTCTGAATTTTAGCACAGCGATCCACTTAAGTAAATATCCATTAGCAAGGGTAAGAGTTGACTGTAACAGTTGGCGTGGCAAGAGATTTTGTAACAGATGACGTGGTGTTTACTAATGCTACTAGTATAAGAAAGACATATTTTACTGAAAGAATAGAAAAAGGAATAAGGATCTAGTGTATTTAGAAAAAATGTAACGTCTAAGCAAAGTCAAAAAAGTCAAACGTCCTCGTGCCGTATTTCATTATTTAAAAAAAGTATTAAGGTAGCAACAGATAATTTTAGTTTCAGTTACATTCATTTTAATATTTACATTGACTTAATATAAAAGTTTTATTTCACCGTTTGGATTTATAAGGCATTTCTTCCGCCTTTTGAGCATGCCTTCGTGTTGTAATGTTCAGCACACTCGGTGCTTATTCGAGAGATCCAAAGTTCAAGTCTCGGCGAGGGCATTATACATTTTTCATGTCTCCTCCTTCTAAATAATCTAATGTCCCTACAGGGTCATTACTATTCATGCATGAATCATTAGTAGTTTTACTAATAACTAAATTTAGTAAAATAGACTAAAAATAACTGCAACTGTGTTTGTTATTTACATATATGACAGCAATAGTTAATGTGACTAGATATGAGACCAAGATTCTGTATCAATTTAAAAAGAATAAATATAGCTGGAACTTTGGATTGATCTCGCCCTGCAGAGATGCTTTTTGCGTCATTTATAGATGCCTAATTATGTCTCACAAGTCATTTCAAAGATTAAATTTTAATCTTAGCTAAAAGTCGTTTCTTGTGAATGGTTTACCGTAAAACTTGTTCAGTTAAATAAATTTAAAAAAATTCTGGGAGAATAAAACTTAATTTCGCATGAAACGGACCGAAATGAAATTTTTACTCATTTTCAGAGATATCATGGTTCTTTCAGATCCATAAAATAAAAAATTCAACTAAATCTTTGTTTACCGTGAAAAAATTCAAAGATATAATGCGTATTTTAATTCATACAAAAGCAATTGCAAAAACATTTAAGCAAGCATAAGCGAAAACTTTAAAAATTCCATATTATTATGCAGACAAAAAGTGGAAAAGTAAACTCAGTCAAAAAATAAAATGAAAAAGAATTTCATAGAAAACATACACATAAGATTAGCATTAGACGATATCTTTTAGAATGTAATTGTTTTATAAAATACTAACATGTAGCAATTTAATTAGATGTCAGTTTTTGAATAAAAGCTTAACAGCAGGAAAATATGGTGACTCTAAATATAACACACGAATTCGATTTAAAAAAAGGAAGAAAGAAAATTAATTTTAGATACATAATTGACTAACGGGAATGCAGCCTCAAAAATCAAACATAATTTGAAGTTGTCACACAGTTTTAAGCACACAGTTATCGACAAAACATGATTGCATTAACATTGATTATTATATAACATGATTTCGAAACTTTACTAACCTGAATGGCAACGGTGGACTTGGCTTGCTGTTGAATAAGGAAGAACACCGGACCGTTGATCGCCATTTTGGCGTCCTTGTTGTCTGATGACATCATCGTGTCAAATGTCCTGTAACGACACGTGAAACTAACATTAGTGTCGAAGTACACAGGGTTCCTAATAAACTGCTAAATATTTCCTTGGCAAAGCTTTCAAGGAAATAAAATATAAGTATAGATATCCCTAAAGACGATAAAATAACCATAAATGATTATATGATTTCCCTGTAGTCGAATTTGCATGTTAATCCATGCATTACTATACCTAAATTAATGGCTAAAGTTAAAACATGCCGGTAATTAACAAACATCGAAAATTTTGTGAATAAAATTTCAGAGCAGATAAATATAAATGAGTAAAAAAATATTATAGTTCGTGATTTCAAGCATGTAAAGATAGTTCTGAACATGAGTGTAATTTCATCATTAGCAATATAAGAGCTTTTTAAATCAAAAAAATTAATTTTTTTATTTACAAAGCATAATGAGCATTTTAGTAGATTCGACAAACATAATAATTTTTAGCATTTTAATAATAGAACGCTTTAGTGGAGCATTTGAATAACTGAACATTATCCTCCTGTAGAGCCAAAATCTAGCTCATAAAATGTTGATCTTGCTCTCATCAGACAAATGCAAAATATTTTATATCCATAATTCATATGGGTTCAGACCCAGCAAGTGAGCTGGTTGAATGCTTTCCTCACCTGCAACGTGACAGATTTCCTCAGAACGTCTTCAACGAAGGATTCCTTTCTTACCTTTAAACAGATAGCCCTTATGTGCTTCATCTTATTTAATGTGCCAACCAATTATCCGAATTATATTGATTAAATTATAGCAATACTTAGGTATTCTAAATTTTCTTATGCATGTATATCGTTACACATGTAGTTATGAATGAGCAATTGTAATCACCCATGCTTATGCAAGCAGATTATATTTATTCATTACAAATGGTCTGTTAACAACCATTGGTCGGAGACCGGGGAAAGCGGAAGGAGCACCAATTTCGCTCATGAATTTACAGGTTTTCCTCCGTCGCACTACTGTTTTAGCACAACATCCAACATAGAACATACTGTGCCTTGCTTCGGAATCCATCTCAGCAAGGAATCCACTACGCAATATTCGGGAAGCAATGGAATTTTCTTCAATCAAGGATACAAAAGGAATAGACAAAAAAAAAAAGTGCCGTTAGAATTATGGTAAAGCCTGCAAAGCTGCCTGAAGAATGGGATTTCTCTATGGTGAAAAAATTGATAGTTTTTCTAGTTACACATCAGGAAAGTTATAAAACCTCCCTCGCAGTCAACTCATTCGCAGCAATGTGCATCCAGGTCAAACAACAACTGTTTAAGGTCCACTGGAGAAAGATTTTACAGTTAGGTACCGGTATGATGCATATTGGTGGTACCAAAGGACGAACATTTTCTTTCAGGTTCACATCACAAAACGTTCTGGTATAAGATGATTCACTTAATGTCTTCTGATAATGCCGATATGTTTTACTTGTGAAGGACTAGGATTCTTCTCTCGCAGTGACTCGATCTTAGTGTGACTCTTTATCGAAAATAGAGTTTCCCTTAAAAGGTCTTAGGAAATTTTAAACGCTGAATTCTGATTCTTGCGAACGTCTTCAATAAGATGATTTCAAATTTTGAAAAGACAGCTTCTTCTGCCATTAAACCATATAGGGGATGGGAACCAGTTTATACTCAAATAACCCAATGCAGCACTAGAGAAAGATATTCACACGAAGCATTGTCTGACCGCCATTTTTTCAATTACCATAAAAAAAAGGTTGGACAAGCAACTAAAATATTATCCTTGCAAAAGTACCTCAGTTCAAAAGTGGTTATATTTAGTCAAGAATGTCCGAGAATTTCGGGCTTAAATCTTTTTTCGGATAGATGTCGATGGTGAATGGCTATGGAGCATTTTGTAGATTGAGAGCACATTTCCATATTCACGATTCATTTGATTAACAAAACTGCGGAATATCTCATTGGACATTAAATCTAACAGGCAACGAAAACAAAAATCCACATATTTTATAGCAGCATTTATTGACGACCCTTTCTTCTTGAGGAAGTTGATTCTGAAGGCATATTTCACTTGTTTTATCATTAGCATTGATATTTATCTAGTTTGAAAAATTGCAGTATTTTAAGAGAGTGTATTGTTAATAGAACTGTAACATAATAGATTATAAGTATAAGCATAAATGAATATTTATTTTTCAATGACTATTTATAAGTGATAAGCATAAACGTAATTATTTCTAAGTGATAACCATACGTGTGATTATTTGTAAGCACATCATTTATAAATGATAAGCATAAATGAATATTTATCTCAATAGATTATAAGTGATAAGCATTAATTATTATTTATTTTTCAGTTCTTTTTTATTCAGCAATTACTGATTTGCTTTTTTAATAATAATTCTTGTTTGCTGACTGTTTCTATTCTTCCGTTTATTTTATTATTGATAGTGAAATTTTATTAGTTTACTGTTTGGAACTTCGGAAAAACAAATGGTACTAACCGATTTATTATGAGCTTGAGTGTGTTTTATTTATTACATGAGTCTAAAGCTTAAAGGAAATTGAGTTTTGTAGTTTAATATAAATGTGAGAATCCCCCAGAACATTTTGTATAATTTTGCAAAATGAGCTATGACGCTCTTCTTTTAATCTGATAATTTTATTTCAAAAATAGCAACAAAATGTTTAAAATCGACAAAAAAAAATTATTATGGCTTTTCAAAAGGAAGCTATTATGGGAAGCGCACCGTGTTTAAAAATACTATGCGCTCTTCAAAACAAAAAGTTGTAAATAATGTCTATAAATATTTTTTTTCATCTTCCAAGAAGAAAAGTATGCAGAAACAGTGAGCATTTTGCAAAATATTATAAAATGAGTTTCTAAAATCGATTCTCGGAGATCAAGACATAATATTATATCTGCAAACAGAAGAAAGAGGAAAAAATCTGATGTTCTTTCGATTTAAAACAGAAACGAAAGGGATACTTTTGTGTTAATCGGCCACTGCGAAGGAAGGTCGTCAAGCACAAACTGCGCTGCTTGAACAAAATCTGGCAAGCAGAAAATGCATGTAAATAACAAAAGCGTTAAACTTTGAAGTAAAATGTATCAAAATTACATTTGCATTTATTTCTTTAGATAAAATTCTCCCTTACATTTATTTCTTGAATAAACTTTTCTTGTCGCTTTTTTGCATATGGTTTCTACATTTCCTGCTAATGTAGCTTCAGAATGATTTTCGCTTTCAGTGCACTTCCACCCATTAAATGGCATAAGAAAATGTGAAATTTTCGCGTAATAATTGGTAATTAAAATAGTTACATTGCATGAGCGAGTTGCGCGATGTTTTCTCTCGGTGACCAACTTTAGCGGTTTAATGGAGATGCGGCGATTTTCTTTTAATGTTGGCCAAAGAAGTGCCGTCAAATGTTTAAAAAGAGAAACTAAAAATATTATCGTTATATTTTCCTAAAAGCAGAAGGTATTTTTTTATTTTAATTACTGTTTTATAACCGTAATGAATTAAAAAATCTTACAGTGAGTCTATCATAAATTTTTCTGAATGTGTTGGTTTCTATTTGAAAATGATGAAGAATACAGTTAAATCTAGAAAATTAGTTTAAACATCTTTCACTTTAACTAAGAAACTTTAGTTCTTATTTTATCTAAGAAAATCTGGTTCTTACATTTTATCCCGTTAACCGCGAACAAGTAACGCGATTGAGCGCTAGTTATGAATGCTCGTATCCTTTAGAATTAGCGATTTGCGATTTGGCTACTGTTCCGAAATTTCCACCGATGATCGACGGGATAATAAGGAAGTACTGAAACTTTTACCTTCTAATTTGATTTAGACATGAATGGTCATTTTTCATGTATAAAGGCATCAAAATATAAATATTTATTTCTGTTTTAATGTATTATCAAATTTTATGAAAGACTGTTAACTGCTACTTTTAAAAATAGAGCATTATGTGTAAGAAGCATGCTATACTTCAGTTTTCTTCTAATACGATGGTTTGCTTCAGACTTGGAAGAACGTCAGAAATAAAAGGAATGACCACAGAATATAGGCAGAGGAAAATATCTACTCAGTGTCTAAAAATATTCTACTGAAGACCAGTATAACCACTAAATATCAATGTATCTACTTAATGTTAAGATTAATTTTGTGTCTTGCTATTAAGTTTAAATACGTTATAGTATCCGTCTTCTTGTGGCTTCTTCATTCTATGGATTACTTATTTTACCATATCGGTACTATTCGGTTTTGAGGGCCGTAAAAAATCGCCAAACTATTGTTGATGTCAGTGCTGCCAAAAATAATTGCGGCAACCCTAATGCAAGAAAGGAAGTATAATTTTAAATAACAAATTAAGATTGATGTTTTAATTTAGATGAAAGGTTAATTTCATATAATACTTTTTTATCATTATAATTTATATAAAGGCTAAACATGACTGAATGGAAGCATAAGAGTAAATAACTATTTCAGATCATTATTATAATTTATATAAAAACTGATAAACATAACTGAATGGATGTCTGCATCGCTATTTTGCTACCGAGTTACCGCTAAAGCATAGTTTCATCTCGTTGGTTGTTCAAACATAATTTTCTATAATGAATTCTTTGAAAAACTTCTCGGTAAAGTGCAGAATCGCCCACTTATTTGTTTGCCGCTTTTTACAAGGGTAAAAACAATTGAACTTTTGTCAATTTTCTTTAACTTTTTAAGTGAAAATAAGTCGATGAGTACATAGATAAAGTCAAGGGTGTGCTCAGTGCCATTTTTGTGTAATTCTGGGATATTTTTTTTTGAAGTGAAAATAGGTCGCTGTGTACATGCATACCGAATATGTGCAATTCTTAAAAACGCGTCAAGCAGTGGGTGATTCTGCACTTCCAAAATTCTATTGCACACTTTTCGTCATGGGCAATTCCCAGATTGTTAAATCCATAGGATATCAAAAAATAATTTTAAATCAAAAAAAGGATTTAAGAATTAAACTAGTATTT